GCTAACTGCTATTGCTAACTGCTATTGCTATATTATACTATGACTCAGAACAACAGCAAAAAAAAGAAATGTGATAACCACAAAGAAACAATGCCATGCTCATATGAACAAATGCTATAATATCAAACATTAAATTAAAGGTAAAGGTTCCCCTTGCACATTATCAGCTAGCCATTCCTGACTCTAGGAGGCGGTGCTCATCTCCATTTCAAAGCTAAAGAGCCAGTGCTGTCCGAAGACGTCTCCGCAGTCATGTGGCCGGCATGACTAAACACCGAAGGCGCATGGAACGCTGTTACCTTCCCACCAAAGATGGTTTCTATTTTTCTACTTGCATTTATACATGTTTTCAAACTGCTAGGTTGGCATAAGCTGGGACAAGTATCGGAAGCTCACTCCGTTACACGGCACTAGGGATTCAAACCGCTGAACTGCCAACCTTTCTGATTCACAAGCTCAGCATCTTAGCCACTGAGCCACCACATCCATATATAAATCAAACATTAGCAAACATAAAAACCAAGAAAAGCTATGCTGGATCAGGCTAACCAGTCCAGATCACTTCTTCCACCACTTGCAGGCTAAAGAAATAACTCTTCAGCCAGGTCCCACTTCCTCTTTCTCATCCAAGTGACCAGTTCTGAAGAGACATTCTTTGTTGGGGGATGATCCAAGAAAGCCCCCTGAATCACACCTCCAGCAAAGGAAGCAACTTCCAGCTGGCTCAAAGCTGGTATAAATTGATGCATCCCCTTTTTTGTCCAGCAAACCCCCAGCTGGCTCACAACACACACACATCATCACAGAAATCATGGGAATCCAACTTTCCTTTTGAAACAGTGATGGTTACAACTCTACAGCTCTTTCTGCCTTTGCTGTTTGGAAGAATTAGAGCTCAACACATGGGAGGAGCTGGCAGGCTGGAAGGAAGCTTACTGAAGGCCGAATATAGCCCACAGGGGATTGGAAACCTCTAAACTAGTTATATCCAATTTCTGCAAACATTCCTCATGTTTTAGTCTCCAGTGTCCTAATCATTTTTGTTGCTCTTCTCGGCACTCTTTCTAGAATCTCAACATCTTTTTTTATATCATGGCAATGAAAACTGGATGCAATATTCCAAGTGTGGTGTTACCAGGGCATCATAATGTGGTATTAACACTTCCTTCTGTTAATACAGACCAGGACTGTGTTGGATTTTTTTGGTGGCTGCAGCACACCGCTGACCTATATTTAAGTGGCGTATCTACTAGGATAGGGGTGTCAAACTGGTGGCCTGCGGGCCAGATGCGTCACATGCAGGCACACTCACCCCAACTCCACAAATAGGAAAAAACATAGCAAAACATCGCATGACACTGCAAGTTTGGCATCTGTGTGCTAGGACAATTTAGACTCTTGTTTTTGCAACAAATGTACTAGTTATGGAAAATAATACAAAAAATCCAGATCTTTCCGTGTACAACATGAATGTTGACAACAGAAATTTCTCTAATTTTGGTTGAGGTGTTACTAAAAAAAAAATAAAGCAAGTTTTACTAACTTGATGTCAAGATGAAATGTCTAAAACTGTCCATAGTAAAAGCTCATATTAAACAAAACAAATTATGTTTTTCTCCACTGGTTCCTTTATAACCATTTAAAAATTAAAATACAGGATACATTTTTAAAATAAAAAATTATAAATTTTCCATTACTTAAATTTCAAGTCTTGCCATGCTTGTACAAGGTATAGTCAAAATCATATGTACAAACTACATTTGAGTTGTCTTATAAGAAGGGTAGCATATACATTTAACAAATAAAATAAATAATTAGAATTGCAGATCTCAAAAAACTAAGGTGGGGAGCAAATGGCAATGAAGTAACAGCAAAGTAGGCTGGAGATATTTGAAGAATTTTTTCTTTTAAATATTCACTGTAAATATGTTCATAATAATGGATCTGAGCTCTCTCCATAAAAAAAATCATTTAAAAAAAAACCACCCAAAGATTCTGACACAAAAAACGATAGAAATGTCTCAATAGGCATGAAATTTAGATTTATTATTACACAGAATGATATGGAGATTTGGAAAAGAGCTGTATCGCTCCAATCCTTCTGTAATTTTAAAAGTCTTTGATATCTAGCTTCCTTCCCAGGCTTGGGACAGGTAAGTTGTGCAGTCTCTGTTGATTTTCTTCTGGTGTCTTGAGTTTGTTTTTTTCCATGATTTCTTTTTTCTTTTATCATTCCTACTTTTAAAGTTTATGGCAACCAGAGCCTCCCAGAGATCAAACAGCCGCTATATCCAGTGAAATAACGCAACAAGTTTGTTGCAAGGACTTATTCTTAGTTTATTGCACAAATACACACAATAAAAAGTCAGTTATACAGAGTTCAGGATTCTTTTCCAAACTTTAAGATTGCAACCTATTTATCTTTTGCCCTGGGTATTCTTACAGGAATTCTTTTATAATGAACAGAGTTGTGTACTTTGACCAAGGTTTAGTTACAGATCTTCAATTAAAATTACAGTAAATTGCTTATGTGTACTGGATTTTGACCAGCCTTGAGATAATGAATAACAAAATGGATTAACAACGGGAACAAAGCAAGTAAATATTACATTTTATCATTATGTAGAAATTACTATAATAAATGTTTATTAACGAGGAAAGGAAGGGCCTTGAATTTATGTAAAACTGAAATAATAAATATGAACTGTAGTATCACATATATATTTAAAAAGTTGTAAAGAATAATAATGAAAGGAAGATAAAATTATGCTATACAACATGTACTTCTTGGTGATATAATTCCTTTACTGAATTTTTAGAAGCTCAAAGCTATAATCTTTAGACAACCCTGTGGTGGTTGTGAAGAATACCCTACCCAACCCTTCTTCTTCAAGAATGGTAGGTAAGCTTTTATGTGCAAAGTAGATCATAAAAGTAGTACTGAGGAAAACAGTTTGACAAACATATACTTGCAACTACAGCAAAGTTTCTTTTCCATTCTACGTGATCCATGCTTTATTCATGTTAGATCACATGGTTCGAACATATTCTAGTTGCGAGACTGAGAAGATCAGTCCTAACTTTGTGGGTAGCTACAAAGCTACACTTCCCTTATCCTTAGAAGTTGGCATCAGAAGAGAACGCTAAGAAAGGTGTTCTGACTTGGAT